GAAGATGGTTTTTATGTTTTTAATGCTCTTGTTTGTTTATGTATGTTTGTGTTTGTTGTAAAAAATAAAAAACTTTAAAAAAAAAAGAGACAATACACTAGATGTGAGGATTATTTGTGTTCTGCAAATGAATGGTCCATAGACTGAGTACTTCTGGAAATAAGAAGCTTGCCTGATTTGGAAGGTTAGTTCAACACTCACCCCACCCCATCCTGGCTTGTTCCATAAAACACATTTCCTGACTAGACTCAGAGTTTTTACTTTTATTTCTACAGCAGTGGCCTGTAGTTTCCAAATATAGCAAGGCAGTTGGAGTTGTGCTGTTAAAAGCATTCATATGTCAAACAACTTTGGTTTCAAAAATTATGCTTTCACTGGAGATAAGGAAGCCTGAAAGTAGGACATTTCAAAAGGTCATTCTACAGTATGAGTGGAAGAGCAAGGAAGAAAATGCTTCCTATAGCAACCCATGAACTAACTTCTCACCAAAATGTAAGCCCTGCTCCTGAAAGACTGACATATTGACAAAGGTTTAGAAGTTCCCCCTTAATCTACACTGGGGAAACAATGAGCAGCAAATTAATGTATAGAAAATTACAGTTATTCCATCCAAAATAGGGTTCTCCCTGCAGGGCCCTTCTGCAGAGGTGGTACGTGCAGTTAAATACTCCAGAGCACGAGGCAAGTTGCAGGGCTACAGTCAGCCACCACACTGCTCTTTCCACTGCTCCATCCAAGAACGTGGCAGAAGAACATTTTTAAAGGCATGGAGATACATCAGATGGGTGGTATTAATTCAATTTAGTTTAAAATTAAACTGTAACTTATACTTCAATCACATCGTGGTCCTCCCTTATTTGCCCTGGTCCTGCCCATAAGCTGCAGAGGGATCCCCAGTACGACACGAGCCTCAAAGTGGCTGATCTCGAAGGAGCTAAGCAGGGACAGAAGTAGTTAGTTGTATGGAGGAGGACCTGCCAGCGGATTGTAAATTAGGCTATGGAATTGAAAGAAATTCTCAGGAGAAAGCAGTAGTGAACTATGTCCATATTGTTGCTAAAAAAAACAGCATGGACATGTCTGTGTGATCACCAGAAGTTGCATTCTACGTGAGGGAGACAATAACTTTCCATATGGCTGGCTGAGTGACTGAGGACGATATGAACATTTTTTTAAAACCTCAAGTTCCCATAACAAGGATTGTAGGATAATTTGTTTTTTGTAGTCTGTGCTCAGTTTGTGATCTGTCCTTCCCTTTCTATTCTTTTCAGGGTTGATATCCAATTTCTGGTAAAGATTTGTGCCCCCCTTTATCCTTTCTTTTAGCTTTTAGGATAACTAGAGGCTCAATTCTCTAACAGATACGTAGGCATAGATGCAAACAGAGATGTACATATACATTCACTCATGCTGGTTTGTGTTTGAATCACAACCTAAGGAACCAATTTTAGCCTAGTGTGTTGTGTGAATGGGGCAAGTATGGTTACTTTATGATACATTGTATCATATGAAGCCAGAGACTCAGTAGGGCTGATTTTCAAAGTAGTCAAATTTTCAGAGTGTAAATTTTTCACAGGGAGGTTGAAAAACACTTGGAGCAGTGTGCAAAGGAGTTTTAGTGGACAGACAAAGCAAAGTCCAATTTAGTAATCCTGCCATTTCTGCTGGGGGAAAAAATCCCCCAAACTAGTGAGGGGGACAGGAAAATGATCCCTTCCTTCTTTTCACTTTGTTTGAAGAAAAAAAAATTAGGGCAATCAGTGGACCTTCAGTAGAGTTGCTGAATGTGTCCGAGAAGTACCCAAATATCTCATCACAAGCTTCTGTAATGCCCCACCTGAAAGACTCTGTAGCCTGGCGTCTCAGTGATCTGGTTTCAGATTTTGAGACGTCCAATGGTTCTACCTTTACTGAATACTGTATCCGCTGATGTGTTAAGCTAACCAGCCAGTAGCTATGCCTAACTAGCGCCATCTACTGGCCACTGTCTTTTCTTCCTGTTAATACGTCAAGGGCATCATCTACGGTACAAAAGAGCCTTCAGTGTCTCCTGCCCCTGTCACAGGGAAATGCTCTTTTTGAACTGGAGTTTATAGCAGATGATCAGAATGATACCAACCAAGCCTCTATTGCTTGTGCCAGTGTAAGACAACTCATACATTCAGATTCAATGATACAAAATCCCAACATTATTTAGCGCTAGAATTATTTTATTATCTACACATTTATGGTTTAAAGCACAAAACACCGTTGGAATTAATTAATTTTAAATAAATAAAATACATATTATATATCATACTAAAACACAATTTTATTACGTTTCATATTTAATCCCCTTTAAATAAACTGTTATTTAAAAATAAGGAAAATACAAGCCACTGTGGGGTTAGATACTCATGTCTTTTCCAACACATTTCATGTTAAGCCTAACAAGCCATATGATGGCTTAGACCAATGTGTGAATCCAGGCAGAAAAGTGAAATAATCAAAATTACCAAATGGCAGAGTGAACAGAAATTCTAGATTGCATTTACAGATATGTGGATTTTCTCAGGAGGGCAGTGTCGATCCCTCAAGAGCATTTAACTATGGGCCTAAGTTAATAATAGATGTGCCTGCATTATTAGGTTCCTCCTTAATTTGATGTATGAATACTTCTAAACAAATTTCCTTTCTTTTTTTTAAAAAAAGATAGTTCTAAGTTTCCTTTGGAGGATTTTTTTTTAGAATTATTTTACCTATACTTTGCTTTGAGAACAGGTTTAGTCATTTTTGATTCACACAAAACTGTACACGTTACCCAAGAAATAAATACTATCAGTAATTTAGATAATACAGTACTAAATCCCATAGGGATGAAACATTTTAAATGTCTTGACTTGTTTCAAGAAACAAAATAATATTAGAGGACTACATTTTAGTATATTTCTGCAAGTTTAAGATTTGACAGCAATAATGAATTCTCCCATTCTGAAATTAATTTCAGTGTTACTTTGATAACTTTAAGAACTGTAGAAAATTATACCAAAACAATTAACACCTGCCTTTTCTATGTCAAAAGAGAACTGTGTCCGAAACGTGTTGTAGATAAGTATGGTTTATGCTTATAAAAACTTTAAATGTTGTACCAGACTAGTTAGTTACTCCCTGATAACTAACAGTTATGATTTTGGGCTGAAGCAAGAGGTCTCTTCTCGAAACATGGACACAAATGTCAAAATGCACAATTCTACATACACCTTTAACCACTTTATAAGTAATAAATTTGACGTCTTGAAAAGAGAATAAGTTGCCACCACCTTTGTACGAGATTCACAGACGTGAAAGGGCGCTATCGGAGCCCAGAGTATCAGAGGGCAGGAGACAGCCCACGTGGACTGCGTGCAAGGCCAGAAGGTATTCCATGCTGCTTGGACGGCTTATATTCTTCCTTGATATGTTGCCACTCGTAGACTCGGATTGTTGTGCTGGAACCGGATGCTTCCTCTCAAGGCGTTGTCATCAAGGAATCTTCCCCTCATCCATGTCCCTCACATCGAAAAGGCTTTCCAGAGGCAGCTGATCTCAGTCCATGGAGTAACTGGATATTATTGCAGAGACGTCCAAGTTCATTGGCTGAAAATAGCAAAACATAACAGTTTTGGATGCTCCTCCTTTCCATTTCCCTCCTTAGCTGTTCCAAATATTGGTGAAAAGAGATCAACATCCTATGGGTATAACAATATTTTATTTGCTGTTTTTAAAATTTGAATTCAGGACCAACTTTGTATGTTTTTTAATCCAAGAATTTCTGTGGCTAGTATGACACAGATGTTATTTGACATAACCATGTCAAATCATTCTTTTCTGCAGACTATTTCTGACCGCTGTTTAGGTCAATTTCCAGCCTTCCTCACTACTTAAAGCACCTGGTTCCGGATGTGGCTTTCTGAAAACAAAAAAACCTCTGTATGACTAAGCACATATGAATGTATGCCACAAGTACTTATGATGTTGTATGAGTATTTATTGTAACAATGTACGACTAAAAGATTCTTCACACCTCCCCTGGACTCTGTCTGCATCTCACATTTTGGGAAACCCTGCTCCAGAGATAGGGAATCTCTGGTCCTATAGATGTGACTGAAGATCTCCCAGTAGCTACCAGTAGCTGGGGCTGCCAAATGTTGAGACGTCCTTTGCCAACATCTGCCCGACCACCGGGGTCTGACCCATCTGAATCCGTTGAACAGCAAGGAAGACCCTTCCCCCCACACCTCCCCACTACATTGGCTAAACGGTGCTGTTTGGACTGTCCTGAGCATTTTGCAGCTGAGTGAAAGCAGAACCACCCTGGTGAGGACTTCACAAGGGCAGCATTAGCTACCCTAAACTTTCTTCCATCATGATGGTGAATGTACAATGGGAAAAGCTATCATGGGCTAAGGATAAATAACAACAGTGGGTCAAGAAAACAGGGTTTTGAACACTACCAGTTAGAGAGTACCAGCCAGATTTCTAAAAAATCAGAAATGTACCTAGTTTGGAAAAAAATCTTCATTATTTATTAGTGCAGTCCTGCAGATGGTCATTGAGTTCTGCACCCATACAGGTAGACCTCACTTAAGGGTTGCTCTGTTTAGCGACCGTAGGAACTTGTGACGGTGCTGAAGAGGTAACTTTACAACCAGTCCTCATATTTATGACTGTCGCAGCGTCCCTGCAGCCATGTGATCGATATTCAGGCACTTTGCAACCAGCGGGTGTTTACGACCATTGCAGCGTCCTGTGGTCACGTGATTGCCATTTGCATACTTCACAGCTGGCTTCCGATAAGTAGAGTCAATGGAGGAGCCAGCAGTAAAGTCGCAAGCCATGGTCACTTAACCTGATGTCTCACTTAATGACCCATGGTGATTCGCTTAACAAATCAAATATGAAGTGACATCGCAAGTCTCTCGTGGTCACATGATGTGTTTGCTTAGTGACCACATTGCTTAGCAATGGAGTTGCCAGTCCCAATTGTAGTCGCTAAGCGAGAACTACCTGTGCTACCAGAGAAGTAGGTGTAAGCTTAAATGGAATCTGAAATTGTATAAATCCATTTTAAAAAGCATCATAAATAGAACAGATCAGCCCATTGAGCCCACTTTGCTCTGGTCCTTCCTGGACGAAGGTAGAAAAATCTATCCCATGGAACCCTGAAAGCCCCAGATCACTTTCTAAGGGCTCAGCGCTTAAATCTTAAATGTGCCTTAAATACTGTAATACTTTCTCAGTCAACCTGTCTCTTGATGGGAAAACAATATATCAATATTTCATAAATCAATATCCAGCCATGAAGTAAAATCTTCAAGCATTTTAAAAAGAAGATGTTCAGCTTTTTACTGAAACACGTGATTTAACATAAAATATGTGTGGTCTATTTTGGTGACCACTAGCTCTCTGGGCCTCAGGCAAAGCTCCTTTTGTCGGTCCTGCTACCTAATATCCGTTACTGGAAATGTGTTCCCTTGGCTATTTTCACATTATATGTAGTAAACACTCTACCTCCTGCAATGATCCATCATTCTATGTACCACTAAAATAAATAAACTATAGCTTTTTTCATAACTTACTTGATTAAACCAACTGAGCTTTGAAACTATCTTCTGAATGAAGGCTGGGGAAACTGCTGAAAAATACAGGAAAAATCATATAAGTTATTGGGCCTTACAACAATATGGCGACAGCCAAAAATTGCATTGGATTCTTTAAGAATCTGGAAAATGAACATACCTTGCAGGAGTGAATGTTTTTTCTGCAAGAGAGAAGGGCGATGGAGAAACAGAGAGAAACAAAAAAAGAAATTTAGTAAAGCGTTAAGACTCCCATTTCTTAGCAGTTTCTAATATAAACATATCTGAACTGTCTTCTATTCTGTAAAATATAAGAATATATATCAAAAATATTCTCATAATTCGGTTTTTAAATTAAGCTTGCTCTCATCTGTTATCAAGGTGAAGGTCCATTCTCATAACACTCACTCATAGAGTTAAATATGTTAGTACTTAGTTACTAATTTAATATGCTTAGAATCTGCTTTCTAAAAAACAGATAATATCAATCCAGGAACAGTTAAGCTAATAGTAACTGGGATTGCAGCAGTCATGAAGATGAAATGTAATCCTTCCATTGCGAATGGAAAAAGAAATCTCCCACTGGTTCCAACAGAGATTTTGTCTGAATGCACATACCAATTTCAGAGGAGAAACTTTCCACAGGATTGCAGCAAGAGTGAAAAAAGTTCAATTTTTCCTTCATGTCTGCGGCATGTAACAATTTATATTATTTGTATTTGTTTAAAGCAGACACATTAAATTTCAATGCACATTTATTATTGTTAATGTTATTAGACACTCTATCCTGCCTTTATTTATTTACACACACATACTCTCTCTCTCTCTCTCTCTCAAGGTGATGAACATACCTAATACTCTTGTCTCCTATTTTCCCCACAACAACAGCCCTGTGAGGTGGGTTAGAGTGACTGATTTATCCTGTAATTTGGCCATTTCTGCATAGTATTTGTGTCAGGATCCTCACAATCAATCAACTATCAATTTATGTCAACTATTAGATTTATTAGAGCTATTGACCTAGTTAGAATGTTTCCTTCTATAGGCCATAAAGTAGAGGTGTTTGGTTTGTTAAGAATGTCAGTTTATGTAGATTGCTTGCTCGTTCCTGCCTTAAAATAAGGGAGGGAGAGATTTAAGTAGACAGAGACAGACGGAACGTTACCGAGTTCTCAGGAATTCGCAAGGTCGTGCAGGCGTGAGACCAAGAAGAGATCCAAGGGAAGGTGTGAGAGGGACTGGAACTTGAAAGAAGGGAACCCGCAGGGAGGGGGGTTAAAAAGGAAACACTGAGAGCGGGTTTTCAGTTTCAGCAATCTATGGAACGCTGTATGCTTCTTCTCAGTAAAGAAACCTTTACTGGAATGGTCTAGTTTCCAGAGGATTTACTTGGATTGGAAATTGAGTGTTGCAGACTCTGACAATTTGCAGTTATAAATTTAATTATGTATTACCTTGCAATAATAGATTGTGAAAATGTCTTACTTTGTCTTTGAAGACGCTTTAGAATCCAGATGATAAATGATACCACTGACAGGACAGAGACCCCGACGACTGATGTACCAACTGCTAAGAAAGTCCCAAGTGCTGCAGAAGCTAAAATTTGAAAATTGGAACAAATTAGAAGGCTGTACAAATCCATCCTGCTTACTTTGCATCTATTTTTCTAGATAAATATGTTTTCTTTCCCCTTACGTTTTGATAGTATTCCCCTACAGCAACAGTTTACTTGGAACTGTGCATATTATTCTAGTAGAGAAACTCCTGTTTCCTGTGTGAGGTCGATCTTCCAAAATTCATGTATCTTCCCTTGGAGCATGGATGCAAAAACGATGGCCCATCAGCAACCCTCTTGTGTTCCTGAAGGCCAGACCAGAGTAAGTGTTGTGAAAAACTAGGGCTCTGGGTTGTTTTTTGCATGTTGGGGAGGATTTACAAGGCAAAATGGCTGCCTTTAATTTTCAGGTGCTTAAGCCCCCAAATTCATGCATTTAAATGCTTGAACTCTCCTCCCAAATAATAATTTATTGTCTCTTTCAAAGTCTAGTACTAATCTGTATAATTTTGCTGGATATCCTAGGACATTGTTAAATAAGAATCTGCTATTTCCTCAAGAGGGGTTACAAGCTGAAGAACCTGAGGCTTAACTTCAGGGCAGCTTAAAAAAGAATTCAGTTGTGTTTACTGCAGCCAATATAAATTATATTTTAACAAGATTTCTATTGCTGTTTTAGATTTTGGGATAAATTCCCTATAAAAAATTCTTCAATTCCAATGTCCTTTTCTTGACAGTTCTGATGCATTGAAATTCATAATAATCTAAGGGATGATCTATCAGTGGAATCAAAGGGAGCTGTCTAGTTTAAACTGTAAGATCCTTTTTTCCATGTTGAAAATATAACTCTTTATAAATATAAATTATATAAAATATAAACACTACTTTCTATATCTTATGTGCACATTCTTTCCTAACAAAAGGGTATAAAATTCAAAGGTTCTGATTCTTTATCAACATATTCCATATGTACCCACTGTTCTATAGAATCGCCCCGAATCAAAGAAATCATATAATACTGCTCGATAATACATTTCTTTGATAAGATATTCCCTAATTAGAGCAAATGTATTGAGGAGAAAAATGGCAAGTTCTCAATGCTTTTAAATTTTACCTTCACATGTAGGAACTGGATCAGACCATTCACCATCTGATGAACAGTGAATCCGGGATGCTCCTTTCAAGATGTAACCCTCCACGCAACTAAATTCATAGACTGACTTGTAAGTTGGATCTGTATCAGCGGAGGAATGTTTGACTTCTCCCATTTCAGGAGGCTGCACTGCTGCACATTTTACTGCTGGAAATAAACACAGCCCACACTACAATTAACTTTGATGATAAATGGGACAATTCTATACAGGTAAAAATGAATCCCCTGGGAAAACAATACTAGGACCTAAGATAAGACGGTACCTTCACATTCTGGCTGTGAGTCATCCCAGTGTCCAGAAGCACCACACTGGAGTTCACTGGATCCATTCAGTTTAAATCCTTCTCCACAAGCAAACCTGCAGGTTGAATTCCAGGCAAAGTTTGCAGAAGGATCAGAGCAGTTCATGGAGCCATTAGCTGGAGGCTGTAGTTCACTGCAATGCACAGCTGTAAATGACAGAGTTTGAATTATCACTTAGGGTGAAAAACATAGTGTGTGTTATATTTTCAGGATATATATAATTATACACATAGAGATGAGTTTGGGGTTAAGATTGTATAAGTGGGAAATGAAGTTATTGACTTTGATATGTTCATGCTTCAAAGGGTTGGAAATTACAAATACAGTATTTCTACATCATAAAGATGCTTATTTCATAAAATTCTGGTAAAATCCCTGTCTCCACAATAAATATGAAAAATGAATCCAGGGATGCACATAACACCAATAACCAAAATAGATTACTAAATAGTCTGATTTCTGTCTCTTACCTTCACAAACAGGAATGGGCTGTGTCCAGTGGCCATCTGATGAACACTGAATCTGTGGTGATCCTCTTAAAATGTAGCCCTTTTCACATGCAAAATCACAGATTGACGTATACTTCAGTTCCGTGTCATTATGGGAACAATTCACAATGCTTCCTTCTGACTGAGGCAGTGCTTTACATTTCACCACTGAAACAGAGGCAGATCATGCCATATGTTACTCCATATATGGTCAAAGAAACGCACATAGAAAACCAATGAACTCTGTGCGAGTGCAGGTAAGCCAATAAGATAAAACGTTTACCTTCACATGTGGGCTCCTGTCCATCCCATTCTCCAGATGCACCACACTGGAGCATACTGGGGCCTTTCAAAAAGAAACCTTCTTTGCAAAAAAAATTGCAAGACGAATTCCAGGTATAATTTTCAGAGGAGTTGGAGCAACTGTAGAAACCATGAGCAGGCTTCTGTAGTACATGACATTCCACAACTAAAAACAGAATTGTACGATGTTAGATTTTGGCATTTTCCTCAGTCAACAAGATGTATAATGGCTGAAGCCGTACTACAATTGTGAATTCTTCATCGCAGTACGGAGGAAATTTACGTTCCATTATCTATCATTTATTGCAATAACAATGATTACAATAAGTGACAGATAATGGAATGTAAATTGGGATACAGTCACTGAGTGGAGGTGGTGTCTGTTCTCCGCCCCACCTGCCTCAAAGTTTTATTTTTGCTAAATTGAAAATATTAAGAAACCTCCGTGTATTTGCAAAATAAAATCCACCTTTGCTGAATGAGTGGATGGTTCTGAGTGTCTTGAGACACATTCTTATGATTTCAACTGAAAGTAGCACAAAACAAATTGATAGCTAAATGAATGTTTCTATTTCAACAGTGCCGACTTAGACAATTCTCTTTGGGGTTCACTGTGTTTCAGTGGCTAAATTTACATACCTTTACAGGATGGAGGTGGTGCAGACCATTTTCCAGAATAGGTACACGTTATTGATTCCATCCCAGTTGGTTTGTAACCTTCCTTGCATTCAATGTCACAAGAAGAGTGAAAGCCAAAATCCTGTACTGGATGTTTGCATGTAAAGATACCTTGATCTGGGTCTTTCAGTTGATCGCAAGTAATTACTACAAAAGAACAGAAGAGTTTGGATAAGGCACTTGTTCCAAAGCTAATATATTAAATGGACAGAATTAAAAATCCACAATGTATTTGAACTAACTAAATGACTAATCAATCATACCATGTTCACAGTCACGCCCATAGAAACCTTCTTTGCACTGGCAGGTATAATTGTTAATTGTCTCTATACATTCACCACGACCGCTGCAGGAATTTGGAGTACAAGAGGCTGCAAGACAATTAAGCAGATTACATTATGAAAATGATACAGTAAAGATATTGCGGCACAACATTTTTCTATTATAACAGCATAGTAGAATCCCTTATTTCCCTTTCAGAAGGAAGGAGGAAAACTATGTTTCTGTCTTGAAGATTCATTTTCCCCTTTTTTGGCTTTTTGTCTTTTGATGCTCTTTTTTTTTTACATTCTCTGCTGTATTGTATAAATTTCAGTGGAAACATTTTCCACAGTGCAAAGAAGAAAAACAAAAACAAAACAGAAACAGACATTTACATAAATTACAAGGGTTTTTACAATTTCTTGCTTTTATGCAAAACTCTTCCCACAATTTCTTTCATATGACTTCCCCATATTAATACCCTATCATTGCACATCACAGGATACATCTAAATATAACTGTCCTATGTTAATTTGCATGGACTTCCATTTATAGTCACCAACAATTATTACAGCTGACATTTTAAAAAATATTAATATAGCTCTTTGAAATATTTGAAGCCGTTTCCATACAATGAAATCATTCCAAATATGGTCATATTCTTACAAAGGCCCATTGATACTTATTAGTTGGTTTACATCAAGTATGGTTTAATCTGGATCTAACCCCTTATTTTTCAATCCTTACAACAGTCCTAAAAATAGATATGTCGTTTTCCTAGTGAAAAAGGAAATCTTTTGGTTGCATAAATATTAATCAAATTGATATCAATCCATACCATTATAGCACAAAGCTCTTTTAGGTTTATGACATGGTTCATCGTTCCACTTTCCTGAATCTTTTGTTCGCTTTATATAGATTTCCACACAGTCCTCATTCTTCCTTTGGTTGTTTGGTTCACCTTGAGCCCAGTTTATAGCTTCTTCAGTCAGTGGCTTGTTTGTTCCAACCCATCTCCATTCATTCTCAATTTTTCGGATTCCAATCCAATAGTAATTTGAATTTCTAGGAAACGTTGCATTTAAGTGGTGAATTTCCTCTCTATTCTGAATAGCAACCAAATGGGTAAAATGGGTTTTACACCATTTCTCTGCTTCTTGGTAATTCATGTCTTTCTCTGAAGAGTGGTACGTCCAGCCATTGCTGTCCTTAAATAATAAAAGTCCTAAAATGAGAGATATCAACAAATTGCTGTATTAGAATTGAGCTATCTGAGCTAAACATAAGCCCTGCACACCAGAAATGTGTTCATGCTAAAAGAAGGCAGGAATAAAAGTAGGGGGCTAACTTAAGAGGATAACTGTGGGAGGAGGAATGGTATGGCTTAAAAATGGGATGAGAGACAACCATGCCTGCCTACGAAGAGGCTGAAAAAGGAAGAGAGCAGAAAGCTACCAGCCATTTGCCCAGAATGGTCTTCTAGTATGGAATGGAACCTGATGCTGTTTTAGTGGAATCCAAAGGATTTCATTAAGAAAATGGAATGAAAAGAAAGCGGATGCAATATAACCAGTGGTCTAGAAAAGATGGAAAGAGGGAACAGACAAGAATGTTGGTCTGAGTTTTCAGAATAATGAAAATGAAGAGAAAAATGAACCTGGCGATAACTTTCTCCTTCTGAGACTTTGGAAACTATGAGGAGGGGATGTCAGGGAGGAGAAACTGGTAGATTTTTGATGTAATTCACCCTCATACAAACATACCCTGCACTTTCTACATTAGCTTGCTCTCTGTTTTTAGTCAAATATTTTTTCTAGTTTGTATTTTTAGTGTAATTTAAAAAAACTGCAAAATAAGATTCCTGTTTCAGTGAAAAGAAACTCATAGCAAGAAATGTTGCTTCCATCTCAGTCTAGAAGGTTTCCTACTTTGAAACACTCACTTACCATAGCTAAGGATGGAGAGAAAGTAAAAGGTATTCATCACGGGAGAAACAATCTTAAAAGCCTCTCTTTATTTTCTTGTTGGAGGTGCTACGGTATGAGCTGTATAAAAAAACAATAATTAAGATAGTAGATACTTGTAAATTTATAAGGGAAGTAATGGGTTTTCTCAAGTGTGTGTGTGTCTATGTGTGTGTGCATGTATGTGTGTGTATAATCATACAACAATTCATATGCAGTTATAAAGATTCAACTTGAAATCAAAACAAAAGTAGCAGTTAAAACTCATCCGTCTTCTGAGATACAAAGCACTTTTTCCCCCTCTTAAACATTTCCTTCACCCCAGTTATCGGCCACAAACTGCTTAGGGAGATTACGGTTTCTCTTCCCTGATCCTTTTCAAAAGAGGTAGACTGAATCTGTTTGAAAAACTTTCAATATAAGGCTGGATGCTGTAAATACAAAACTGGAGCCAGAAAAATGTTGGACTGGAGGAAACATGGCCAGTATTCTGCATGCATTCTTTTTTAAAGTGTAGAGTTAAAACAGTTTATCCCCTTTTTTCCTGAACCTGCCTCCCAAATGCATTGAAGTGGCAATTCCCAGCTAGATTGGCTTTTGATTTTATTGAATGGGAAGTAGCCATGCGGGCTGCCAATTCTGGGAATTGCAGTTCCAACCATTAGGAGAAGATTACTTTCTGGAAATACCTAAGAATTTAAAATATGAACATTACAAAGTGAGGCCTACAAATTGTATGTTAGACTTGTGAGACTTGCCAAACACAGATTGGCATTGGTTCTCTGTTGAATTTATAGTTTAATTTTAAAGGCAGATTAATGTGAAAAATAATATATATTTAATAATATATATAATACATTCATTTCTTTGATCCTGCAATGTAAACATGTCTATTTTCTAAAGAAATTAAGCAAATTATAATTTTAAGAGAGAATGAATGCTGTGGTTACTCATGTGGCCGTTTTCTATTCAACTTTCCCTCTGGCATCTTTTGAAAAATAATAAAAAAAAAGCTTTCAAAGTTGTTGTTTTTTTTTTTTTTTACTTACCAAGAGCAACTGTGGAATGTGAAATCTTATTTCTAATTAGTTCAACAGAATAGTTGTCTTGCGTCTCTTCTGCAGACTCAGGACTTCAGGCTTTATGCTGACACAGTTTACAGCTTTAAGTGGTTGACTGTTGACTTATTGCTCAGCCCACAGCCTAATATAGGAGTCTCCCTTCTCCTGCCTCTTTGGAAATCCTATGACACATCCAACAGGATATTACCACAAAGAAAGTGAGAATTTCCCTAGGTAGGAAAAAAAAACTCCTTGGAATATCCGTGATGTTAGAGCATTGAGACCACCTCCCTGTCTTTTCCGTCAGAAAACACTGTCATGATGAATATCTGATTTGAATTCCTGGACACAAATGTTTATTTAATTAATCCTTGCTAAAAAAAATGAAGTTTCTTGGTTGATGCAGCTATTCTTGGAGCTGGGCTTATCCTTACATAAAAAGGAAGACTACTGTAAACTAAGATAACTCAAGTTTTATAATTAAAATAAATTATTCCAGTGAACTAAATTTACATATATTATGTACTTATTTCATCTGCATTAAAATCAAATTTTAAAATATTTTTATAGATAGTTCCAGAAGTTAGGGGGAAATGTTATCTTTATCTATCTCAGATACCCAGGTGAAAGTTGAATGCTACAGTCAATATCTTAAAATAAATAGAACTATTTTTGCTGTTGGGATATTTTATCTTAATTTCACATTATTGAATTGTTGCATGTAGGAATAATTGTCTAAATGTTGGATCCATTCAGAACCTAATCTATGGTAAAAATAAAGTAAATCTGTAACTTGACCCCTTCCTTTCATTCAAATCTATCGTCTGTCTGTCTGTCTGTCTGTCTGTCTGTCTGTCTGTCTG